ATATTAAAAGGCATTAATTAAGCAATTAATTAGATTGTATCTATGTAAAATGTGTCTTTCCATATTTTTTTAAAAATATATTTTGAACCATGGTGAATATTTAAAATTCATTCTGAATCAGTGATTTTCATTGAAACCGGAGCACAGAATTGAGGAAATGGCAGATGTCCTTATCAATATTAAATCTGAGACATCTGCCATCCACCTCCTTCCATACAAATGGAACAGTGTGCAGATACCAACCGTAATTTGTAGCAACAATGGAAATAAAATCATTACCTCTCAATCCATCATTACCACTCCATTCGTAACATTGGCCAGGGTTGGGTGACTCTGAACTTATTAGGGGGAGCAGAGGACACGAGAGGTGAGATTAAGTATTAAAATATTATATTAAATATTATGTCCAAAATACAGTCCTCTAGGCACAAACACTTTTTGCATTCAAAAATTAGACTGAATAAAACTTCTAATCAGCAACAATGGATATATAATATTCTGCTATTTGAACTCAGTGATATTAAACCCAGCCTTCTCTATGCTTAAACATTAGCTTGAATTTAATTCTCTCAACCCATTTTAACACTCCTTAAGGAACAGCACTGACAATAAAATGGGCCAGCAGTAGGTGGTTCTGAACCTATTGGATACACATATAATATTCCTCCATTTGAATTCAGCAATATTAGACCCCAGCCTTCCAAATGCTTAACCCTGTTATGGTTCCCCCCCCCTCAATTTCTTAAATAAGAAGCGAAAGAGCTTCCTTGATGGATTTTGCATGACATCTGTTTCATTAGTCAATAATAAATAAGTCCTATAGCCTCTCACACTTACCTGAGATCGTTGGTAGATGTTGAAATGGAATTTTGGAAGATGCAAAAAATATGCCCAGTCTGTTCAAGTCATATTCCTCTTTTGTTTAAGGTTGAACATTAAAGAGGAACAATCTGTGTTCTCAGAAATCAATTTCAGTCCTATAATGGTTTTTATTTTCAATAGCTCTATAATATATGCAGGGAAACATACCCAAAGGTGTTGTTAGTGAATTCAAAACATTAGGATCTCTTTTGAACTGTGGCTCCTATACCACAAGGGAACCATGAGAGGTGTCTGTTGAACTTGCTCCTTAATCTCCAGTGAATGAAAGACACTGATGCTTCTAAAGTCCCCCTGTGTTTCTCCAAATCATTTAGGAATGATTGAACCTAGAGGTAGAATTAGCGGGCAAGGTGAACCTTGAAGTAGTAACCTGAGGAATACATGGCCACGAGGCTGTGCTTGTTTATCATTTATCTAAGAGCTCTTTTTCCCACCCCTGGCAATGTGTTTCACACTGGTTTGAAAAATGTTCTACCCACAACCTTCTTTCATCATTTGTCCTCCAGGTATTATAGATTTTGCTGCCTAACACCCTGAAATGCCAGATAGTTTTAGGACAGAAACCTGCCATCTTTCCTCTTCCAATCCATCATCTAATGTGAGGGAAATGATCTACCAGTCACTCCCCTGAAGGAGCTGCAGGGCAGGATGGGGAACTATTGTTTCCTGTCTCTTTATCCTCAGTCATTTGGAATATTTTGCATGTGGGGTATTTTCGGTAGGGAGGGAATAATTCAAGGTCAAAAGTGATGCAGTAAAGAAGCATTTCACTGAGCTGCCAGGTGGCTTCATCAGCCTTTATTTTCCTTATCTTGGTCTACCCTGCTTTCCTACTTATCCCTTCAACCCATCTGCCCAGCTCCCAATTGCCCCTTCACCAGTCTGGTGGCCTCCACGTATGATCCAATTCCAATACTGCTGCTGTCATTTATTCGACAGGCCCCTATAGCCTTGCAGCCAGAGGTTTAGTCTCAATTTTTCTATGTATAAACATTTAAAAAAATTATTAGGGGAATCAAAAAACCAGGAGGGAGCAGTGCTGTAGTGGCCCGTTGGAGCTCAGCACACATCCCCAATCTCTGAAGGTTCCTCTTCCAAGCCTTTGGAATGTCCACATGGACAGGGGGAGGCAACAGTGCTTTCAGCCTAGAGCCCTTCAACCAGGCTTCACCTCTCTTATCAACAGATTGGTGATCAGATGGAGACCACATTTTGAAGACAGGCCCTTGAGAAACCATTAATAGAGCACCTTGATACTTGACAAGCAGGGCATATGTATGAGCCAGTTGAGCAATAATGTATTTATAATAATTATATAAACTGCTTATAGTCCTTGATGTTTTATATTGATGATGATGATGAATGAATGAATGAATGAATGAATGAATGAATGAATGAATGAATGAACAATCAATGCAAGGCATCTGCAAGATCTAGTAATAAAAGTCAAGAAGCACAGGAAAAAATGGGAATAAAAATAAATATAAAGGAAACCAAACTAATGACAACAGGTTGAGCAACCATCCTTAGAACAGACATGGATGGTACTAAAGTAGTAAATAGCTTCTGCCTTTGAAGATTGATGATCAATTTTAAAAAACATAAGTAGTCAAGAAATATACCCCAGGTTAGCATTTGGCACAGCAACAAAGCTTTTGTCAGGTATGCTTCCTTCAGTATCCAGGAAAGAAAACCCCAAACTCAGCATTTTGAAGAATTTGGTACTTTTACTGAATATGAAAAGATTAACACCCCAGTGAAAAGCTGGAAGTGACCAAAACGCGCGAAATGCATCTACTAAGCTTCTTCCCCCCCCCTCGTGTTTATATTTTCTCAGCCAATCTAAAGGTCTTCCAAAGGTCAGGTGGCAACACGTCTGGCAGCGTCATCCATCAGGAATGTCGAGACAGTTGGTCAGCCCTCCCCTTCTGAAATCCAGTTTCGATTCCCACGAAGTCTCCTCCTACAAAGACAAACCCCCTCCTGCTCTCTTCCCTCCCTCTGCTCCATACCTAATCCCTCCCGTTTTCTTATGGCAGCTAAAGCAGGAAAGCTGAGGCTGACAGCTTTGGAAAAAGTATTTCAATCCCATGATACCTGCAAAAATCAGAATTGTGCAAGTTACAACTAGAGATTGGAGGGGGTGTTCCTGGCTCCTTTTAAAGAGGCTGTGTGGTGCGCCCCCTCTTCAAGAAAAGTCATGACTGGACCACATTGTTTTGGGCAATTTTCCTCCAGTCTGAGAAAGCGGTGGCATTGCAACTTCAGAGGGGCCTGGAGGAAACAGATTGTCTGAATCCTTTTCAATCAGATTTCAGGCCTGGATGACATCTGTGGGGAGTGGGATGGAGGTGGTGTATCCATCCTTGCTCTTCTTGACCTCTCAGCAGTTTTCCATACCATCAACCGTATTGCCCTTTTGGGTTGATTTACAGAGTTGGCGGTGGGTGGCACAGTTCTGTGCTAGCTCACCTCCATCTTCTGAAGCCAGTCCCAATCAAGGTTGAGAGATCCGGCTCATGGCTCCTGCTTTGTGGTGGACTGCAGGGCTCAGTATTCTTTCCACTCATCTACATCTACATGAAACCACCGAGTGAGATCACCAATCACCATGGGACAAGGTATCATCGGTATGCAGATGGTAACCAGTTATATATGTATCCTTTACACTAATTTTAAACTCATCCTTCTCTTTAAATTTTAAATTTTAAATACCATTTTTATTGTAAGTTTTGCCCCATCTTGCCACAGTTATTAAGTGAATCACTGCAGTTGTTAGGTTAATTACAAGTTAAATGAATCTGACTTCTCCATTGACTTTGCTATTCAGAAGGTTGCAAAAGGGCAACCGTCGTTGCTAAGTTTCTGAATTTTGATCATGTGATTATAGGGATGCTCAGTGATGAAATGTAAAATTTGTTACTACCGGTTCTGTGGGCATGGCTTGGGGGGAGGATAATGTGACTGGGTGGGCATGGCCAATTTTTTTTTTTTTTTTACTTTTAAAAGCATTTTTTCTACAACCTCTTCAGCTGAAGAGATTGTAAAAAAATGCTTTTAAAAGGCTCTGCCTATCAGGCAACTCAGCTGGGATTATCAGAGGCTTTTTTTTTCTTTTAAAAGCATTTTTTCGGCCAAAGAGGTTGTAGAAAAAATGCTTTTAAATTTTTTTTTAAAGCCACTGATGATTGCGTGGCTCAGCTGGGCATGGGGGGGGCAGGTTGTCCGAACCACCTGCCGCCATCGCTACTGGATCAGGCAATCTGGTCCGAATCAAGAGGATTTCACCCAGGGGTGAAATGTAAAATTTGTTACTACTGGTTCTGTAGGCGTGGCTTAGTGGGGGGGGGGGTAATGTGACTGGGTGAGCGTGGCCAACTTTTTAAAAAAAAAAAACTTTTCAAAACATTTTTTTTACAACCTCTTCTGAAGAGGTTGCAAAAAATGCTTTGAAAAGCCTCTGCCGATCAGGGAACTCAGCTGGGATCGTCAGAAGAGGCTTTTTAAAAAATGCTTTGAAAAGCGTCTCTGATGATCAGGCAACACAGCTGGGATCGTCAGAGACTTTTCAAAGCATTTTTTTTACCACCTCTTCGGCCGAGGAGGTTGCAGAAAAAAATGCTTTGAAAAGCCTCTGACGATCCCAGTTGAGCCACACAATCATCAGAGGCTTTTTTTTTAAATTTTAAAAGCATTTTTTCATCGAAAGAGGTTGTAGAAAAAATGCTTTTAAAAGTAAAAAAAAAAAAGCCTCTGATGATTGTGCGGCTCAGCTGGGCATGGTGGGGGGGCGCAGCGATTTTTGCTACAGGTTCTCTGAACCACCCGCCGCCATCGCTACCGGATCGGGCGATCCGGTCCGAAACGGGAGCATTTCACCCCTGATTCCACCCCTGGGGATGCTGCAATGGTCATAAGTGTGACAATTCTAAGTGGAGGGTAATATTAATAAAGAATAATAAATATTAATAAAGAATAATATTCTGAACCAAAAAGAAAACCGTGTCCTGATTGTATCTAGTATTGTATCTAAAGGGTCCTGCTTTTCTGTAGATGAAAAAGGAATATGTTGAGGGAGGGTACATGTACATACAAAAATGATGTCAAAATGTATGCACTTCAAGCTAAAGATTAATCTTTATTTTTTTAAAAAATTGAAATACAGAAACAGTATGGAGTGAACCATATATGAATACAAATAGAGGGACAGAAGTGAGAATCAAGTGTTTGTCTCTTCTATAATCATATCTATTTTTTCATCTCAGTCATCAAAGAGAAAATGATTGTATACTGTTTCTTGAATTTATTGAAGATGTTCCAAAGAAGTGATATAACAAGATAGACTGAAGATAATAGCTACCTAAAACAGTGTGCGGAAGGCTTCTTATATTAGGAAAAGCATCTAATCGAAGGCCTATAGCCCTTGTACAGCCTTATCCAGAATCATAGAAATCAAATTTGCAGTTCGAAGTCCACTCTGAGATATTTTTCCCTTTGCAGTTTATTTGCCAATTGTCCCTAAAAGCCAAAATAAGAATATTACATATCTTAGAATATTGGACATACTTAGCAATAATATTGAGTGATATAGGATCACATTAATAAGAGATGTAGACTCACCAGGCATTCATCTTTTGCCTACCCAACACAATTTTCTTAGCACATGCAATATCATCTCTGAGATCATCATCTAGGAAGGCTAGGGAAAAAATAATCAATAATGAAGGGTTTTTAAAAGGGATCTTTTAAAATCAAAACCATCTGTGAGATATTTCATAGGACTGGATATATATATTTAAGTTAATTTTTCTAATTTGGGTTTTGCTTTAGAAAGCAGGCTTCAACTCAATGGCAATTTAGTGAGGGCTGAGGAAAAAATAATGAATAATGAGGTCGTCACTAAATTGAATTTTCCTTATTTAAAGGATGCGGCCTTTTGGAACACCTGGATAACAATCTGAAAAATCTTTCCTTCCTATTTGCATTCTGCCAGGGCTATTAGTAGCTTTGTAGTGCACTGGCAGCTGTTTCTTGCAGAGATCAAAGATTGTACACCCACAGCTTTGCCTCCCAGATAGAAAACCATCATTCAAGACTGGATCAGGGACAAGGAACAGAAAGCAGTGGATGAGGTCTGCCTAATGCAGGCGCTGGAAGAGTTGTGCTGAGGTTCTCTCTCCCTAGCCAAATACAGGTAGTCCTTGACTTACGACCACAACTGAGCTCAAAATTTCTGCTGCTAAGTGAGACATTTGTTTTACGATCTTTCTTGCCACATTTGCTATGTGAATCACTGAAGTTGTTAATTTGGTTAACATGGTTGTTAACTGAATCTGGCTTCCCCCTTCACTTTGCTTGTCAGAAGGGTGCAAAAGGTGATCATGTGACCTTGGGACACGGCAACCGTCATAAGTATGAATCAGTTGCCATGCGTCTGAATTTTGTTCACCTGACCATAGGGATACCGCAATGGTTGTAAGTGTGAAAAATGGTCACAAGTCACTTTTTTCAGTGCCATTGTAACTTTGAAAGGTCACTAAATCTCTCTACATGGGGCTCCCCTTGAGGAGCACCCGGAGGCTCCAACTGGCGCAGAGTGCGGCCGCGTGGGTGGTTATGGGAGCGACATGGCGCTCCCATGTAACACCTCTCCTGCGTGAGCTGCACTGGCTCCCGGTGGTCTTCCGGGTGCGCTTCAAGGTTTTGGTTACCACCTTTAGAGTGCTCCATGGCTTAGGGCCTGGTTATTTACGGGACCGCCTGCTGCCGCAAACAGCCTCCTACCAACCGGTACGCTCTCACAGAGAGGTACTCCTCCGGGTGCTGTCAGCACACCAATGTCGGCTGGTGGCCCCAGGGGGAGAGCCTTCTCTGTGGGGGCACCTACTATCTGGAACGAGCTCCCCCCGGAGATACGGAGATCCGGGATCTATGCACCTTCCGCCGTGCTCTTAAGACCTTTTTTTTCACCAGGCTGGTCTGGCCTAACGTTTCCCATTCTTTTTTTTAATGTAAATTTTAATGTAAATTTTAATTTGTTCTTAACCTGGGGTTTTAAATTTGTCTTGGGCTAAATTGATTTAATTCGATTTTACTTCTGCTCTTAATTTTTGTATTCTATGTGTTTTATTCTGTGCCTGTTCACCGCCCTGAGTCCTTCGGGAGTAGGGCGGTATACAAATTAAATAAAATGAAAATGAAAATGAAAAAAATGAACTGTTGTAAATCAAGGATGATTACCTGTACTGAAGACCGAATGGGCATCAACAAATTTGACAAATCTCACTCTGCCAAAGGGCTTAACCTTGTTCTACCAGTAATGAGGCCTTCTAGAGAGATGGGGAGTTAAGTAATGGAGAGTCTTGATGTACAAAGCTAACCTGAACTGGCCTTGCCTTACTCAGTATTTACTACTATTTGTGTTTACTATTCAGTCAGATACAGAAATAAAAGCCGGAGTGCATTAGATGATTCTTTACTAATTTGTTTGGTTTCCCCATTTGTTAGACTCATATCCTGCCTTTCATTTCTGAGTACAATCTGTATGTGTGTCCAGAGGGCAGGGATGTGCATAGTAATTTTGAGAGCAGGAGGTGCTCAGTCAGGGAGTAGCTAAACTGATGAAAGAGAAGAGGAACCAGAACTTCCCTGTAAATATAAGGTGATCCATCTTCTTTAGGATATTTCATAAGTGTTTCCCCCGCTTAGCCTCATGTTAAAGCATTTACTTACCACTGCAGGGCCTTTTGCAGAGATTAGCTGAATATCCCTGTTTCCTGTCACACCACCAGTGGCTGTCTATCTGGAAAATCCCAAAGAATTGAATCTTTCTGTTCTTTCGCGAGGTTACCAATTCGCTGTCGAATCCGCTCCCATGATGAACCAGACAAATCCCTAGATTAAACCAGACAGATCCTTAGATTAAAAAAGAGAGGGACTCCAGTACCAGTTGGCAGGATGCTAATGAGGAAAAAAATTTACCCTTCATTTCTTTTGTTCGTCGAATATTTTGAAGGATAATGATTTGTCCTTCACAATTTTTCATGGATCTCATGAAGTGGGAAGGAAAGGAAAAGAGTCCCTGTGGATTTTTTTTCTCCTCTAATCATAATTGGCTATATGGGGCAGTGCTCATCTCCATTTCAAGAACCACTGAGCCAGATCTGCCTGAAAACATTTCTGCAGTCATGTGACCAGCATGATGTCATGGAGCGCTGTTTCCTCCCCACTGAAGTGGTACCTATTCATCTACTCACATTTGCCTGCTTTTGAACTGCTAAATTGGAAGGAGCAAGAAGCTTACCCTGTCATGTTATGCTTGGGGCTCAAACCTGGGTTGTTAGCTTTCCAGCCAACAAGCCCAGGATTTTAACTATTGAACCATCACACTTCATTGAGTAGGCAGTTGTGTTATTTATTGCTACCATACACACTTTGGAAAGCAACTTTCTTCTTAGAAAGAATTTGAAATATGGTTATCTCAAAGGCATTCTTTATATTTTTGTGGCTGCTTGTAATACATCCCCTCTGAGTTCTCAGCTTGTACATAGATTTTAAGTATATCTTAATGCAGAACATTGTGTGTGGATAGAGTCTGTAAGCACATGGAAAAAGCAACATCCCAGTTAAATGTGCCTGAAATTGTAGCAGCGGTAGCAGGCAGAGATAAGGCCACGTCAGAAAAAGGGAATGTAGGGCTTGGAACTTAGGTCTTGGATGATCCAGCAGAGGCAGCCAGGCTTTTGATGGTATGGCAGGGAAAGCCAGAATCGGACTACCAGGAGCTCTGGGAAGAAGTCTGGCCACGCTAAGCGATCCAACAGTTGAGAAGTCCAGAGAAGGCTCAGCAGCAGATGCAGGGAGAGTGTGAGGCAGAGATGGGTTTCAGCAGGTTGTGGAAATTTTGAGTAGTTCGGAGAACCGGTAGTAAAAATTCTAACTGGCCCCGTCCCCATCTATTCTCTGCCTCCTGAGTCCCAGCTGATCAGGAGGAAATGGGAAGTTTGCAGTAACCTTCCCCTGGAGTGGAGTGGGAATGGAGATTTTATGGTATCCTTCCCCTGCCACATCCACCAAGCCACACCCACCAAGCAATGCGACGCCCATCAAGCCACACCCATAGAACTGGTAGTAAAAAATTTTGAAACCCACCACTGGCGTGAGGCCAGAGAGGCTAAGGCAATAAGGACCCACAAAAAAAGACCCTACATCAGAGAAGAGGTGCCAGCTGCTAGGCTGTCTGATACTGTCTGCATTCTTTTCCAGGGAGATCATTCTTTTTTGGAGAGATCATTTTGAACTAGTAGCAGCAGCAGCTTCCTTTCTTTAAATATGGCAATTTTTTTTTCGTAAAAAGTTTTTTGTTTTTTTTTACACAAACACACAAACAAACATACAATGCATTTTTTCTGAACAGAGTATTGACCGGTTCACAAATTTATACAATTTTTAGTCATCTCCAACACAATATATATGTTCACTTTTTGCCATAGTGTTTATTCTCTCTAATTTTTATAAACCAATATTACCCTTCATCCTAATCTCTAATCTTAATAGAATTCAATTTTTCCCTTTTTGTCTCTAAGTTAAACCCCTTGAATTTAAAATCTCACAACATAATGTAATTCCCAATATTTCCTTAAATTCCCTTATTATAGTCACAAATATTTTTCTTTATCAACTGTTCCAAATAATACAATCCAACATCTTAATAAAGATCAGTTAATTATATAGCATTACAGTCATTCATTTCTTTTCTATTATTTTTTCAAGTATATAATCTTTTCTTACTAAATAATGCCAAATTACTTTATACAGTACATTTTCTTAAATCTTAACTCCAATTTTCAATTACTTTGTCAAATATATGTATTTATGCCTCTTCAAACAATATCTTAATCATTTCTAATTTCACAAGTCTAATTAATTCATAATACAATATCATTTCCACTTTTTAATTAAATTCCAAAATTGCAATTAAAAATATTCCAACTGTTACAATTTCCCTAGTTACAATTTAAAAATATTCCATCTATTACAATATCATAATTAAACTTATTTATATTTCTAAATCTTATTTCAATTCATTCATACATCAATGAAATATTCTTACTTAGTTAATTTCATTATTACAGTCAATATGGCAATTTTTTTTAAAAACAAACTCTTGGCAAGAGTGGTGGGTACACATTGGCGTCTGAGATGTGGAGTGGAATTGTTCCCCTCTTTCTCCACTTAACTGGATGAAATTTCTGCTTCTTGAAAAGCAGAACATCCTCCATCACCACTGTCAGTCCCCTGAAACAAAGGTGTCAGGAAGGGTATCAGGAGAGAAAGAAGAAAAGCAAACTCACAGTCGTCCAAGTGGATGCCACGGTATCCATCCATTCCATTCGATTTCAGAACAGAAGCAAGTTGGCATCTGCCAAATATTTTGGCTTCCCTGCCAGCAGTAAAGAAAATCAGGAGGATGAGGGTCAAAGCCTTCATTGCTGCAGCTTTCCTGAAGATCAGGCTTCCTTGAGGTAACCCAGAATTATTATTATTATTATTGTAGGGAGAGATCTGGCAGCTTGTCCCAAATTATTCAAAGGAAATAGGCCTATTAAAGAAATTGCCAACAAAGCTTGTTACTTCATAGAGCAGCACAGCTTAATAATTTCTTATCATTTTTAATATCCTTTAAACCACTGAGCCTCAGGAGCTTAACCTCCCTTTCAGTCTTCCCCTCTCGTTTCCCCTCTCCTTTTTTGTATGTCCACGGAACAGTGGTAGCCACTGGTTTTCTTCTTTAAAGCCGGTAACTGGGGCTATGTGAAGATAATTTCCCAGATCTTAGATTAAATATTAACCATTGAACTGGAATTGGCTTGGACAAGGAGAACAAGTTATTCTCTTTGTCACCCAGAAAGAGAATCTCAAGGAGAACAGGCTGTTCTCCCTGCAGCAACTCATTATCCACTGAAGGAGTTGCTACACCAACACCTGTGATTTTGTTTCCCCCTCAATCGGGTCTTCCCCATATATCTCATGTCTTTTAGAAGATTGGGGAGGGTTTTTTTAACCAGAATGTTCTTCTCTGTTATCACAATGTACAATGCTTTCAAATAGTTAGGTCCTTTGACATTGTTGATGCACATAGATACAAACTTAAAGTGAACTGCTCCAAACTCGATTGCAGAAAATATGACTTCAGTAACAGAGTTGTTAATGCCTGGAATGCACTACCAGACTCTGTGGTCTCATCCCAAAACCCCCAAAACCTTAATTTAAGACTGTCTACTGTTGACCTCAGTAGGTCTGTAAGGGGCGTGCATATGAGCACCAGCGTGCCTACCGTCCCTGTCCTAATGTTTCCTTTAATTGTATTCATTTTATGTATTCAATTCATGCTTATACTTATATACACTACTCAAAAAAATAAAGGGAACACAAAAATAAGACATCCTAGATCTGAGTGAATGAAATATTCATAGTAAATACTTTGTTCATTACATAGTTGAATGTGTTGACAACAAAATCACACAACAATTATCAATGGAAATCAAATTTATCAACCCATGGAGGTCTGGATTTGGAGTTACATTCAAAATTAAAGTGGAAAAGAACACTATAGGCTGATACAACTTTGATGTAATGTCCTTAAAACAATTGAAATGAGGCTCAGTAGTGTGTGTGGCTTCCACGTGCCTCTATGACCTCCCTACAACGCCTGATGCTCCTGATGAGATGGCGGATGGTCTCCTGAGGGATCTCCTCCCACACCTGGACTAAAGCATCCCCAACTCCTGGACAGTCTGTGGTGCAACGTGGCGTTGGTGGATGGAGCGAGACATGATGTCCCAGATGTGCTCAATTGGATTCAGGTCTGGGGAATGGGTGGGCCAGTCCATAGCATCAATGCCTTCATCTTGCAGGAACTGCTGACACACTCCAGCCACATGAGGTCTAGCATTGCCGTGCATTAGGAGGAACCCAGGGCCAACCGCACCAGCATATGGTCTCACAAGGGGTCTGAGGATCTCATCTCGGTACCTAATGGCAGTCAGGCTGCCTCTGGCGAGCACATGGAGGGCTGTGCGGCCCCCCAAAGAAATGCCACCCCACACCATTACTGACCCACTGCCAAACGGTCATGCTGGAGGATGTTGCAGGCAGCAGAACGTTCTCCACGGCGTCTCCAGACCCTGTCACATCTGTCACATGTGCTCAGTGTGAACCTGCTTTCAGCTGTGAAGAACACAGGGCACCAGTGGCGAAGCTGCCAATCTTGGTGTTCTCTGGCAAATGCCAAACGTCCTGCACAGTGTTGGGCTGTAAGCATAACCCCCACCTGTGGACGTCAGGCCCTCACACCACTCTCATGGAGTCTGTTTCTGACTGTTTGAGCAGCCACATGCACATTTGTGGCCTGCTGGAGGTCATTTTGCAGGGCTCTGGCAGTGCTCCTCCTGTCCCTCCTTGCATAAAGGCAGAGGTAGCGTAGCGGTCCTGATGCTGGGTTGTTGCCCTCCTACGGCATCCTCCACATCTCCTGATGTACTGGCCTGTCTCCTGGTAGTGCCTCCATACTCTGGACACTACGCTGACAGACACAGCAAACCTTCTTGCCACAGCTCACATTGATGTGCCATCCTGGATGAGCTGCACCACCTGAGCCACTTGTGTGGGTTGTAGACTCCGTCTCATGCTACCACTAGAGTGACAGCACCACCAGCATTCAAAAGTGACCAAACCATCAGCCAGAAAGCATAGGAACTGAGAAGTGGTCTGTGGTCACCACCTGCAGAACCACTACTTTATTGGGGATGTCTTGCTCATTGCCTATGCTTTCCACCTGTTGTCTATTCCATTTGCACAACAGCATGTGAAATTGATTGTCAATCAGTGTTGCTACCTAAGTGGACAGTTTGATTTCAAAGAAATGTGATTGACTTGGAGTTACATTGTGTTGTTTAAGTGTTCCCTTTATTTTTTTGAGTAGTATATTATCTAATATGTACTCAACAAAATAAATAAAAATATAAAAATTAATACGCAAAAAATGTTCTTCTTTGTGCTAATACAATGCAGCTTGGTCTTTCTCAGCTGAGCAAGCCTCAAAAATTGTTCCCTGACTTCCCATTGTAGAAAGTTAGCACCCACCCCTCCTGGAAGAATGAAATGTTTTAGGCAATATTAAAAAGGCAGAATATTATATTTCCCTGGATGAGAAATTAAGAAACACGCTCTTGGAGACAGAAACTCAGCTCCCTAGCACCCTCCAAGCAGATACTGAGCTGGGGCAGCTTTAGAAATGCAAATTTGGTAATCCATTACTGCCTGCAGCAAGGTCTGGCTCTGAACAAAGGCAGGGCAAAGCCATTCAGCCACAATAGTAATTGCCCTTCATTGCATCACCCAACCAAGCCTGGGACTCAGACAGCCTACAAAGTTAGCTGTGACCCCTACAGCAACCAATAGAATACATGCCCTTGCCATAGGAACAGGAAGCTCAAGGGCAAGGCCCAAGAGAGGGTATAAATAACCCTCATGCTTCACTCCATGTGTTCAACTGCACCAGGACTTCAAACCCATGTGGTCCTGTTCATCAATAAACCATCTTTCCAATCAGCCTCCATGTTTCCAGTGTCTTTCTCCCCACTTGGAACTGAACCAGATGGATATTTCTTCCAACACCATATTGTGCTAGCTCATGGTTTGTTTCAACTATGTGCGATTGACTAAGCATCAATCAGGCAACTCAGCTGGGATCATCAGAGGCTTTTAAAAGCATTTTTTTTACAACCTCTTCAGCCGAAGAGGTTGTAGAAAAAGTGGTTTTAAAAGTTTAAAAAAAAAAGTTGGCCACGCCCACCCAGTCACCTTACCTCGCCCAGCAAGCCACGCCCACAGAACCAAATTTTACATTTCACCACTGATATGATTGCCATAATTCTTTCTTGCAGTTCTTTCTAAAAGGTAGGATTGAGAGGTGTGCAAACACTGCAAAACTATAAATGGACAGAGATCATCAGGCAAAACCTGGGCCGAGGGATGATGGTTACCATTATTCTGGATAAGTCGCCCACATATGGAGAAAGATCATCCAAGTATTTTCAGGATATAAAAGAATCAAATGAATTACTATTGTTCAGCCCAGTCAGGAAAATTAAGCAGTTAATGTATAATCTAAGAGTTATTTTAGGACTACAGACTTCTCTACCCCCAACCCATTTATTTGAATACCAATTTAAATGGGGAAAATACAGTGGCAAGAATTCCATGCACATAGAGTGAAGTGGGAAGACATTGGAAAAGAACTCAAATATAATCATATGATCATGTCATGATAAATGCCTAACTACTATGTCTCCCTGATCACCCGGACCTTCAAGGGTTAACTAACCACATATCCCATAATCCTTATAACCACTCCTTACCTCTTAGCCCCTCCTCCTGGGTACAAAAGGTCCAACCACATGGTCCACAGATGATTCCAGATGTATACCTGAAAGAGAAAGGTACAAGGTCAGTGACCTCCAGTACCAATAGATCAATAATAAAACTACAGAAAAGAATTGGAGTCTGTCTCTGAGTTATTGGGCTAGATCCAGCTTATAACAGATCATAGGGTTGGAAGGGCCCCTGGAGGTCCTCTAGTCCAACCTCCTAAAAGAGTGCAGAGAAAAGCAACAAAGATGATTAGGGGCCGAAGGCTAAAACATATAAAGAATGGTTGCTGGAATTGGGTATGTCTAGTTTGATGAAAAGAAGGACTAAGGGTGACATGGTAGCAGTGTTCCAATATCTAAGTGGCTGCCACAAAGAAGAGAGAGTCAGGCTATTCTCCAAAGCACCTGAAGGCAGGACAAGAAGCAATGGGTGGAAACTAATCAAGGAGAGAAACAACTTAGAACTAAGAAGTTTTATGACATTTAGAACAATTAATCAGTAGAACGACTTGCCTCCAGAAGTTGTGAATGCTCCAACACTGGAAGTTTTTAAGAAGAAATTGGATAACCATTTATCTGAAGTGATATAGGATATCCTGCCTAAGGTTGGACTAGAAGACCTCCAAAGTCCCTTCCAACTACGTTATTCTATTCTATTCTATTCTATTCTATTCTGTTCTGTTCTGTTCTGTTCTGTTCTGTTCTGTTCTGTTCTATTTTATTCTATTCTATTCTATTCTATTCTATTCTATTCTATTCAGTTGCCCCAACTCCACCCCAATGTAAGGGATTACGGGTCATTAAAAGACCAAAAAAAATCTATTTATTACATTTATATTGTCACATATCACATATCTATGTCTGTAGGTGGAGACTTGGGTAGAGTGCAACAGGCTTTGACTCAACCCAAGCAAAACTGTGGCTTTTGGTAGTTGGACCTTCTGCTGCTGGGGATGCTTCATCTTCGGTTTTGGATGAGATGCTACTGCCTCACACAGACCTGTTGAACCATCTGAAGTTCCTCTTGGAGTCATGGCTCCTGCTTGAGGAGCAAGTGGCAGCCATGACTAGGAAGGTATGTCTAAGATTGTACATCTTCAGGCTGTGCATCAGTGACACCTGTTCCTGGACTGGAAGGTTCTGCTTACTGTCATTCATGTCCTTGGGACTTCCTTCCGGGCCACTGCAATATGCTCTACATAGGGTTGCCTTTGAAGAGCATCCAAAAGTTTCAACTAATGCAGAATGTGGCATCATGAGTAGTAAATAACACCAGTTACTTGGCACATGTGACAACACTACAATGTGAGTTGCACTGATGGCTGGTTTGTTTCTAGAGGCAATTCAAGATGCTGGTTGTCACTAAGTTCCTGGCTTGGGACCAGGTTACTTGAGGGACTGTCTTTCCTCAGTTGTTTTTATTTATCCAACTTGGTCCAGGAGGATTGGCATGGTTTGGGTCTCCTCAACTAAGGAATGGTGCTTGATGAATCCATTAATT